CCCTGTTCACGAACGTGCCAGTCACAGAAACAGTAGATTAAATCTGTGAATTCATTAGCTCAGATCACCAGGACAAAGGAATGCTAGTAAATGCACCTAATTACTTACTACTAAAATGTACCTTGAATTTACAGTTTCCTTTTGACAACAACCTGCGGAAGGTTCACCCCTGGGCCCGCTTCTAGCAAATATATTCACGGGCAAACTAGAAGCCGCTTAACTTAGCCACCAGACAAATAATCTGACATACTGAAAACGTTACGTAGCTGATATATTCGCGGTTGCATCAGACCGAACCAACCTTTAAGCCCTAATGAATACAGTAAATCAGGCGCCTCTGTCCATAAAGTTTGCAGTAGAAGAAGAACAAACTGAATCGCTCCCATTCCGTGATGTACTACTGAGTAAAAGGGCTGATAGGAGTATTCAACGAAAGGTATATCGCAAAAAGACGTGGTATGGGCTATGCATCCATTTCGCTAGCTTCGTATCTTTAAAATTTAAACGTAATCTAGTACGATGTTTAACGCAAAGAGCGAAAAGTATCTGCTCGATTAATAGCATCGGAGAGGAGCTAAAGATTGCTGAAGGCGTGTTTCGACAAAATGGATATCCCTGTCGATATATCGCTAAGAACATGGCTGAAAGGTCATCGAGAACCTCAGTGTTAACAACAGAGAAGAAGCGAATATTAAGCAGGGTCCAATTTCAAGGGGACGAACCAAGCGAACTTTTAAGAAGGCGCCTGAATCAAGCTGTAGCAACCACCTTCCCAGCAGCCAACGCCCATGCACTGTTCTCGACTACTTCCATCCTATACGGCGAAATCAAGGACAAACTGCCAGCCCAGACCACCTCTATGTGCATATATTCATTTACCTGCTTCTATGGGGTAGGATATATTGGTCTCACGAGCCGGCGTTTATCCAAGAGAGTTCGAAAACACATTCCAGCATGGTTAAGAAAGGGCTTACTTAAGGGTATAAACAGTTCAGAAGACGAGGAGGCGATCACTGTAGCAAGGGGTTTATTGTCCTGACGTTTCGGATTCCGTCGGGAATCCCTAGTCATAGGTAATCCTAAACACGTCTGAGACATGCGCAGATAAGTGTGATACGTGGACAGATTGCACTGTATTCATAGATCGTAGCGATCATCCGCATGCGTACTATAATTGTCAGTCTCTGTAGCAACCGCTCGAGGTCTTAATTGGTGCGGTGATTGCTCATTAATTGCCACAGCGTCCTTGTCCGCGTCGGACGCGGGCTTGATAATTGCGCGACAATTAGGCCCGCTGTCGTCAGAGTTGTTGTTGCGCCCGGTCCTTCCCACGTGAATGATTCTCTTGCTCAGGAAATTTCTCCGTACACCGTATGGGAACGCCAAATCATTGCGCTTGCTGATGAACTGGGGGCCTGAGAACCATGACACCAGCAACTCACGGCTCACGCGGTTGTCACCTCTTGCGGGGATTTCGGCCTCATCAAACTTGAAAATATGGCCGGAAGAAAGAGTGGCATAAAGGTGGGGACCGTGAGCCAGAGTATCCATTTCCTGAAGATCGGTAGACGAAACAACTACCCGAAACGTCAGGGCTACAATAAAGTTCTCCCGATGAACGCTCCTCTTTCTTCTTATTTACTACCTGGGAATTGAATTTTCATCACTATTAGTGCAAACTAAGGGTGCAAAGCTCTTCAACTGGCTCGTCGTTGGGAGAAAACAGCCCTGCGTCAAGCCTCGACCTATGCACAGTTCCTTTTCTTGCACAAATGCCTTGCTAACTATATCAAACCCAAATTTATATCCTACAAGCCTCCTGCCAACGTGGAGTGGGCGAAACAAACGATGTTCCGACATAGTCGGCGAATGATCAGAGTGCTCATAGAAGATTGTTATCTCTGACTAAAGAAATAGGCATGCAGCTGTGAGAATTTTAAGACGCATGTAAATCGTCGCTGCAATGAGGCGACCGCCGTTACATTAGAAAACACCTTGCTATCCTTTGGACGACAGAAGCGGGCGAACAGAGATGCAGACTTATCGATAAAATTCGGGGCACAGCAGACCGCGCAATACCCGGAGATCGAGGAAACGTTAGTGTACAAACTCTCGTCAAAACAACTAACCGAAGTTCAAACTAAAGTCCTCTGCTACTGTATATCTCCTATCTAATACCCGCAAGACTGTGAGCCCGTAGCTCAATGGTTAGGACGTTTGCCTCTGACCGGAGAGACCCGGGTTAAAAACTCGAGTGTGGCAGTTATTTCGGCGGCAACGGTGGAGTTGGGTATCAATAGCCGATGACGGCAAATGAGCTAGAAAAGGCCTTCCTAGCGTCCCTCTGTTTTGTCGATTATACCTAAAATGAGTAATATTTTATATTTCTTTTAATTTATATATTTCTTTTAGGTTTTTCTTTAGTATTTCAAGGTTTTTTTAAATGCATTAGTGCATGTTCGCGAGGGAGCATTCATGTTTCGCCAATTTCAGCATTTTACATGAGTTAACCCAAACTGCATTTTACCAAGTATTTGTTAAGCCCACGATTTTGGGTTGTCAAAACTACCGCAGCTCAGAATGCTGTGCCTGCGAATGTCTTTAGTTTTAAAAATGCAGACGCAAGGAGAATGTGCAATCACTGGAACAAGAACAACAAAGATTCGGACATTTCCTGCCGTTTCTTTGAGTGTTGCGGTCTCATGACTCGGGGCCCCATAGTTATCTCGGACGAGCGTGTCTGTTTGTAATGATGGGTTGTAGCAAGCAGCCGAACCGTCAGGCCAGTGAACCTTTGGTGGCAGCTATGAAATCTTCACCTTCTGAACTGCTTCCTGGAACTAACCTGTTAACTTCTAGCAGCAAATGCAGACGCTCTTGGGGAGAAAAGGACAAGTTTAGCATTTTAACTCATATCGTCTTCATAACATGAACAACTTGAACTTGCCAACAGGGTGGAATATTCGAGATCTAGAAGGCGATTCAGAAGAAGAAGCGACCATTGGAACAAGAGGATTAG